TGGGCGTCTTATGACTGTTAGCAAAAGTAGGTAAGATATGTTGCTTTTAAATATTGTGTTTTCAGCTTTGTTTGCTGCCCTGGAAAATAAGGTGGGAAATAAAATAAAAACAATCCACTTTACTTGCCTATTATTGTATTGATAATAGTTTCGCAAGATGTTACCATAAGGCTACCAGATTTTTTTCAATGAATCCGGGGACACTTTTCAACTTTAATGCATTTTGTATGGGGACTGATTTGTAAATCTGGGGACTGTCCCCGGGTCTTAGGGAGCGAATGTGTGGTCCCTAGGGCTGGGGGGGGGGACCCGGGCTTCCCCCTCCAGCCTCCACAAACTCAGGGAGCAGCGGGAAGGCTGCATGCAGCCTTTCTGCTGCTCCCCGACCTGCTTTTTGGGGCTGGGGGAAAGCCGGGCTCCCCCCACCGCCAGCCCCCACAAGGCTCTCTCACTTCCCTCACCTCCTGCAAAAGCCCCCAAGAGTTGCGCTCCCTTTTAAGAGCTGCGTGGAGTGTGTGTGTGTCTTTTGGGGGCTTCTCCCCGAGGAGGGAGAAGTGCAGCCCGTCACACACACACTCTGCGTGGTTCATGAAAGGGAGCACTGAGCAAAGCCTGGGATGCATACAGGCTCTGCTCAGCGCTCCCTTTAAATAATATTTTTTTTCTTGAATCCCCCCCCCAAAAAAAACGGTGCGCCTTATGGTCAGGTGCGCCTTATGGAGCGAAAAATATGGTAAATTCTAATTCCAGAATACACATTCCAGATTCTTAGGCAGACAAACCTAGTCATTTCTGCCATCTGCTGTTTTTTTTACACACACAAACTCCTGTATAGGGTTGCTGGTGTTTCTTTCTCTGTGTAACCAGGTTAACAACAAAGTGAAGCTTAAACTTGCTTAGGTCTCAATGGGCTTGCTTGAATTCTTTTCTTCACCAAGTCCTTTTGAATAATCCTCATTTCTATTTTCCCTCACCTTTATTTCCCCCTTTTCCCTTTTGTGTGTCTACTGTGCTTAAATAACAGCTCTGTGTGGCTCAGTTCACACCACCACTGGGAATCTTTCCAGAATCTTTAAACTGGAAAGTTGCAATGCCCTTGCTGCTGACTTCATAATGCTGGCCTCTGAGGGAATGGGGTGACGTCATAGTTAAAGTGCTAGGATACCAACATTTAACATTCCTGAAGCAGCACAACAGGTCAGTCCTTTTGCTAGTCCCTGCTCATATCTTCACATCAAACTGCCCTATCTCAACAAATTCCTTAAAAGATTAAAAAACAACAAACCCTTAAAACACACCATTTATTGATGACGTTTACCGTAAGTATAAATCAGATTATGACAGGAACATCTCTCAAAACTTTAAGTCGAGCACAATGTTTTAATGTGGTGCCCTCTAATGGACATATTGAAGAAATGCACATTATATCGCCACAGCAATTACAGTAAATATGTAATTCAGTAAAGGCTAACACTGAAGGTGGCAGAACTCGTCTAATAGAATCATAGAATTGTAGAGTTAGAAGCAACCCTGAGGCTCATTGACTGCAACCCCCTGCAAGGCAGGAATCAAGACTCTTATTCCTGCATTCTTATTAACAATGCCATAAACTGGGATGCACAGTTAGAAAGCGCTTTTACATCTTATTTCCAATAGCAGTTAGCTCATGGCTCAAGGCATTTAAAAAGGCAACTTTATACAAAAGGATGAAGAGTGCTCACACCAGAAAAAAAATTAATTTGCATCTCCTGTGATGTCTGAAGTCACTCTTTGTTATTATTACACTGTGGATGAAACTTGGACTGCTATCAGTGGTGTAGTGGAGCAGGAATGAAATGCTGCTACTTCCTTCACAGCAGGAACAATGGTATTTCCTTGGTGCTATACGCCCAATAAATAAGCTTTCACCAGAGAGAAACCACCCCATATGCTAAGCCAAGGGTCAGCAACCTTTTTCAGCCATGGGTCCCTCAGACCATGTGGTGGGCCGGACTACATTTTTTTTGGGGGGGAAATGAACAAATTCCTATGCCCCACAAATAACCCAGAGATGCATTTTAAATAAAAGTGCTGCTAGAGAAATGCTATTATTTATTATTATTATTATTTATTATTATTATTATAAAAGGATACCTTCTACTCATGTAAAAGCACGCTGATTCCGTACCGTCCGCAGGCCGGATTGAGAAGGCGATAGGGCCAGCCCCCGGGCCTTATTTGCCTACCCCTGTGCTAAGCAAAGGAAGAGGGAAGTCAACTTAGCATGCATGGCTACGGGTTTAACTACCTCTTCAATTTTGAGCAATTCCAAAATCTATTATTACCACCCAAAATGCCACAAAATAGGGAGCAAGCTTTTGAGTCCAGGGAGTGTAGTTATAAGACTAGTCACAAAGGGTGCCTGAACTTCAGAATCTACCATTGCGTCATTGAGCAGGGCGCTACAAGTTTCCACAAAGAATGGCATGGAGTGAAAGCCCTTACCTTTTGTTTGTTTGTTAATGGTGCATCTCATATTCAGCAAGCCACCAAACTATGCTTTAATTTCAGAGGTAAAGAGAAGCCACCTCTACCAGCTGATTTGAAAATGGATGCAGGTGTGCCCAGGTTGTTTTCCTCAGTGAGATTCTCCATCAGCTGCTCTCACAAAGCCCTGGTAATCAAATCAGGTGCTTAAGATTCCGTTTGGGGGGAACTGGGTTTTTTTTGGGGGGGCAGCAAGGAGAAAGGTGCTGCTAGAGAAATGCTACAAATAGCCTGAGTGTTCTGCACACCTTGTTTTTAATAGCAGCCTGATTATCAATAGAATATTAAAATCAACTTAATTATTCCCTTCCATCAGGTCTGGAATTCTAATACTATTATGGAAAGAGATTCTCCCTGCTTCACTTTTTAAGCTGTTGCTCTCAGCCCACCCATAAACTTGGGCCTACTAAATGATGTATAATATTCCTCTGTTCCCCAGTTAAGGCCCCCAGCCACCCCTGGAAAAACGTATTTACTGTTTTCTTCTACTAAGTCTATAGATGGAGTTAATAGTTAGACTACTGGAGAATTGTGTTGCTTTTTATTTCTAGTACATTTTGCATCAGAACATCTGGCTACCTTTAAAAGATTACTGTCTAAAACTGGTGGCCATACACCTCCTTTTAAACACCAGATTTTAGGCTCCAGGACACTGACTACTTATGCATCAGGAAAGAATTAGACTTGTGTGACCTAAAGCCAGTTTCTGCCAGTAGATGCACCATGCATATTTTGCTCTGGGCAAGGGAACAGTATAAAATAGTCAAAATTCAGAGAAGTCTGCACATGCAGCAAACAGAATGATCACCGAGTTGTGTTCAACACATCACAGCATTGCGCTAGCTCTGTTGCCAGTTTAGTCTCCTCCCATGACTATCCCACAACAGCCAGAGCTTTAAGCCAGCCCATAAATGACTTGCTGTTGTATCAAGCTATATGACAAGATAGTTTAATATCTGACTTGCTCTCATGTACTGGATTCTACTCGTATACTGGCTTTCAGCGTATCAGTTGGAAAGACTTCCACCCTGATTGGATCTTGTTTTCATTTTCTCTCTGCACAGCAATAGGATACATCTGCTGCCATCTGTTCCTGTTGCCCTAGACATAAACCTCCCCCCACCTCTCTATATGTACATATCAGTTTAAGAGACCACACATTTAATGGGCTTTATTTAGCCCATAGAAACTTACACCACATGTTAGCTTTACGTTACAAGACGACTTTGTATTGGTTACAGAAAACACCACCTGGGATTTGTCACCTGGAAATGCCACATTTTCCTGCATGGTGGTGGCATAGCAGAATAACTACCTGGGCCAATTCTTGTGCCTGTAAGCATGTGCACAGGTGCCTCACCACACACTCATGGGCCCATCACTCAATATCCAAAAAACCAAAGTGCTGCACCAACAAGCACCCAACAACCCCTCTGCAGCGCCACAAATCCAACTTAATGGTGTAACGTTGGGAAATGTCAACCATCTTTCTTACCTTGGCAGTTATCTTTCCACAAGGGCCAACAATGATGACAAAATTCAGCATCGCCCAGAGCATGGATCAGAGCTGGTGACCTCTGACAGATCATACAACAGCTAGCCAGCCCAACAAATGGTTTTGCTCACGTGTGTGTATATGGGGGGGGGGGGGCGACGACACTTGATTGACAGTCTCTGTATTATCTCACTTGGTTTCCTCAAGCTCCAGGAAGAGGATTGGAGCTCAAAAACAGAGGGAAACTGTGGGAATCTAGAACCAAAGTTGTAAAATAGCACAATATGTGTCTTCTACTAATATGTAATGGAAGAATGTGTCTTCTACTAATATGTAATGGAAGAAACTGTAATTTACCATTTCCATGTATTTCAGTACATGTGTGCATTTTAAGTACCATTTTCTTAAATGTAAGGTCTCCTAGAACAACTGGTTCCTACTTATAATAAACGATGTTTACTAAACTTCAGGGCAAGTCATGACAACATCTGAGCTTGCTGATCAATTACAATTTACTTGAGGGCCATGGCAACAGCATCTATTGGTTTCTTTGACCTCAGAAGCACAATATTCAACACAATATTCCCTCTGCATGTGCAGAATTTTGAAAACGATGTCATGTAATTCCCAGCAACTCCATCGCATTGAGGGAATTGTGGAACCCCTACTCAGCAAAGATGACTGACCCATCAATGCCAATTTCCACATGAAAACACTATCTAGCACATGTACTGTATAATAAATGGCTAGGTGACGATACGGGGCTCTTCATCCCAAGACTTTGCACATGCTTTTATAGGCACTGTAGGAGCTCAATAATTGCTAATATCAAAACAGAAGGGCAACAGATTCAAAATGGGAGATGATGTGACGGATGATGGTAAGTGCAGGTCTCCCTCTTCACCAAACAGTGTCACCCTTTAGCTATTCTTGGATGTTTAGCAGCAGAAAATTAAAAACAGCTCCAGCTGGTCACAGCTAGCTTTGAGAATTAATAGCTTTATTACCAACACATTTCAATGCACACATTCTCAAAATGAGATAATATATATTTTAAGAAAAGTTTGTTTGGTTCCGAGCCCGAAAGCTGTTGATTGTGGGGTGATTTGAATCTCGGTAAGCAGGAATCAAATTCCATTACGCTCAAGCCAAATTTATGTACAAATACAAGTCAGCACTGCTGACCAAAACCCACAGGCAACAAGTACAACAAGGTGTTCAGGACGCAAATGGAGGCGCTCACCGTGGTAATGTTTTTATTAGATTATTTACATCATAGTGGTTTCCCCCAAAAAGAAAACCCTTTTAGGTAGAAGAATCAGGTCCCCCCATGTAAAAAATATTGTAGATTTATGCCAAGGAAGAGAAAGAAAAAGTTGGTTTTGTTTGGGTTAGGGAAAGAGAAAAATAAAGAAAAGTGACACTTTCTTGCCACAAAAGGAGCAGGACATCCTTGCAACACTGCACGAGGTAAATATTGCACTTTTGTAAAATTACAGCAGCGCTTGGTAGCAGTCAAGACCAGACTGGCACACAAAGAAAGATAAGCACACACAAACTTGCAGCAGTATTAAAATTAGAAACTCTTGTTGGATTTCTTGGCCAAGGATGAAGACAATTAGATGTACTACTGGCTGACTTATAAGGTGATTGAGCTGCATGTGGGTGTGTCCACAACACACACAAGCCTGTGCACAATGCAAACTATCAAAAATTTGCGACATAAAGTTAGAGCAGAAACTGGCTATCGGGTTTGGAGAAAATTAGGATCTTTGAGTTTTCAGAACACAACCCATTCATTCACAGGCTCTGTTCCAGTTTCTCTCAGTCTCACCTGACAGTATCTCAAAACACAATTATTTAGAACAGGACGGTAACCCCATGGTTTCTGGGTGCACATTTTCTAGCCTCTAAAATATCCAGAATCCGGAGTCTCTTAAACAAGACAGTGAAACTGCATCCTGGCAGCAGCCGATACATTTGCTAGACTTCTGTTTCCATTCCATCAAATTAACTCTGAGAACAGAAATCACATTAACAGCAACATGGCTTTATAGGAAGACAGGGAAAGAAAAGCATTATTTCCTATACAGAGCTAGTGCTGGAAAAGTCCTGAGTGATACACAAAAAGGAACACTGGAGCATTTTGCCAACCTAAGTGCTTTGAGACGGCACAATGAACTGTGAAGACTTTGTTTGAATGAAGTACCAATGAACTGTGAAGACTTTGTTTGAATGAAGTACCAAATTTAAGCATTTACCACAAACAGCTGACCCAGATGGAGGATTGTGTGAATTGCACTGTGCAAAGCATCAAGACTTCAATATAGATTTAATGTCTAGGGAAATGCAAATTGGTGAAACTGATAAAGCCTTGACATTTCCTGAAATATGTATTTTAATAGTGAAATGGGGAGTGGGCAAGGTGTGAGGGGGAAATAACACATCTTTGGTTTAAAAACAGCCTTTGGAAGACTTAAAGATAATGACATGCTGATTATCTTCAGCATTTCAAATGTATCACATTCTATTCTGCTGTATGGGGCTCCTCTTACCTGGATCATTCTGGCTTGCTACAAACTCAAAAGTAGCAGCAAAGGGATACAACACTGGTCAAAATTCTGGTTTTAGGCCAACATCATGTTCTCAAATCACAGCACACCCAGTAGTTTATACAGTAGACCTTAAAAAACAAAAACTAAAAGCTAGCAATTGATGTCCTATGAAACTCACATGAGATGATGCAAAACAAGATGCCTTTAACCTTAGGCCAGTTGTAAACTTGCTGCTACAAGGCATTTGCACTTTTCTTCTATTTAATATATTGGAAAGAGCAGCCATTAGCTCTTGCCATAACCTGAGCACAAGCTTTGCCTTCTGGACCAACTGGGGTGGGGAAAGAAATGGAGACAGGAGAGACAGAACTCCCTGTTGATGAACACAGGGAAAAGAAACCCATTGCCTCACAATGGAAGAGGAGGGGAAAGTGAAGAGCAAAGTCCAGACCTTTATGTTACCCACCATTTTAGGATCTGAACAGTGTGGGCCTCTGCACGGCTTATTAATTGGGGCAGGTGTGCGAAGTTAAACATCCTGAAACTGGGCAGCAATTTCCACAGCTGCCCATGTATATGCAGCCTTCGCAACTGTTGAATTGCGCTCTAAGTTGGATCATAAGCTTCTCATTGCCTTTTTGGTCAGCCTTTGACTCGCGACTGATTTGATTTAAACACTCCACTTGTATGTTTCAGGCTGTGGTAACTTTGAGAAAGGGCAGAAATTGTGTCACACGTTAGCAGGGTGGTGTGCTGGGTCACTTCAAAACAAGCTGAGGAATTGATGAGTTTCAATGGGACGGCCTAGATTCTAGGCCCTAGAAGGAGAGAGAAGGAGCTCTTTGTTTAACTGACAAAGATGGAGGCCACAATAAAAGCTAACAATTCCTTGTTGTCTTTTGTAAGCTGTGAAGTTGAACTCCCAGTGCTTCAAGGCAGTAAATGGTTCGACCATTAAGACTAAAAGGCTAAGTGAGATCCACTGACAGACATAGCCTAACAGGAGTTGGGCCTAACAGGAGAACTAGTTAGAAAATGAAACAGGCAAGTTTATCAGCAGCACTTAACAGCCATCAACAATCTTTTAGGTCACCAACATTCATCCCTTCAACAAATGGTTAAGAGAGAAAACTGCCCAAGGGCTGGGCAATGGGATCAGCAAGCAGTGTGAACTCTGCACACAATCCCATTAGCTCTACTCTCTGAAGCTCATCCACAACTCTCCAAGTTCAACTGGTCAGCACCAGCCAGGGCCACATGAATGGGAAGCTGTCTCATCTCTAGGGGAACAGACCTCAGGCCACATTGGTTGTCTCAGACAAAAGAGGAAATCAGAGCTGGCGCAGGAGAAAAGGGAGCCCTGACAGTCCTTTGGGCCAACTTCTCTGTGGACAAAGGCAGGGATTGCCTTTCTGTCCACTAATCCAAGAGTTATGAAGCCTCTGCAGAACTGAATGGGACAAATTTGGCAGGCTTGTTTGGCGACCTTGAAGGCTGACCATCGGTCTCATCACTGAGTTTGAAGAACATTTCTTGCTCTCGCTTCTTCTGATTCAGTTCATCTTCCAAAGCCTGAAATGCGAAGAGAAATGAGCTCAGTTGGAGAAATGCTTCAAGCTGCAATCACTTCACTGTTCTCAGCCACCTGGATTCCTGACAGTTTACATCAGGGGTGGGGAAAACTTTCTGGCCAGGAGGGGCCAGATCTTAATCTCCCAAGACCTGGCAGACATCATAGTGATGTCACATGATGCTGCACTTTGATGCCCCTGTTTAATAGCCATTTGCAAACATCCCCATGCTGCTCCTTAGATCTCTGAAAATCTGATGTTTAAAGAGCAGTACAGGACTGTTTACAAATGGCAATTCGAAAGCCCTTTTCCTCATTACTCCTTAACCCTCATTACTCCTTAACCCTCTGAAAATTGGGGCTGCCCCATGCTACTCTTTGAACCTCCAATTTGGGGGGGGGGTTCAAAGAGCAGCATTAGAAGGGAAGAGTTTCCATGGAATGGAAGCCACTTCCCCCTTCTTAAGCAAGGCATGCAGCCATGCACCCATCAGGTATGATGTCAGGTGGAGGGTGAGTGCAGCTTCCCAAAAATGATCTGGCAGGCCAAGTTTGGCCCATGGGGTGGAGGTTCCCCAACCCTGGCTTATGTACATGAGTTGTCAAAAATGAAGCAAAATTAGATGAAATTAGAGGGGGAGAGAACCAAATCCAAAAACCTAAACTCGCAACATTTCAGAAATAGGTTGTCCTAATTCAACCCTCCTCCAAATCCAAATGGTTTATTTATTTCATTGCAGTTCTGAATAGCTACTTAGGAAGCATCTCAGACAATAACAACATATAAAACACTTTCAAATATAAAAACAATTTTATATCCAATAAAAATACAGACTGAAATAAAAATTACTGCTAGCATTTCACAAAGTATTCCCCTCGCCCCGAGTATTTGATTTGGCAAATTGATCTGAAAGTCAAAAGTTCAATACTGAACCTTTGATTTCCACCCCCCCCCCAAAATGCTAATGGTGTTTGAAGTTTTATTCCAACTTTCTTTAGCTGTCACCTTTTTTCGTGGCCTCAGCTTATCCCGCCAGTCCTTCAAGTTCTGATTGTGGTTTTCATCCAGAGCTTTCAGTTTCTGGGTCTCATGTTCAACCAAGAGATGGCACTTCTCATTCTATACAGATTTAAAACATCAGAAGAAAAACAAATGAGGGAAGCTCTGCAGAGCAAAAAGGTCAGTATCAAACCCAGCATCCCTGCTGACTTGATTTATAAACCCAACATGACTTTCAAAGACCAGGAAAGAACAAGATTTACTTCAAAAGCAACAAAATCCCAACTCATTCTATGCTCATTCCAGAAAACTTTTGCTTCCACTCAATTTGGAGCTAATGAATGTCATGGTTAGAGGCTGCTCAGCCACAAACCCCATTGAGAGGCTCTGGAAAATTCACTCTCTCCATGTCTATCATACCTCACATGGTTGCTGTGAGGATTAAATGAGATAGCCTTCATATATATACCATCTTTATGGAAAGATAGGACGCAAAATGTCATGACAGGCCAGAAGCAAAAACAAGAAATACTGAAGCACATTTTCCATTTCTGGGAGGGTTTTGTTGACAGGTAGGATGAACCAACTTTTCAGAATGGATGGCAGATTTTTCTCTATGAGCCAAACTAGTGGCACGCCACACCCCGCCCAAGCATACCTAAAGCTGAGCCGGTGTTAAGTTACCTGTAACTGTTGGAGTTCATTCATGTTGCTCTCACACTGGGCACTCATATCCTTCGTCTGCATCTCATGTTTCTGCTGCTGCTGCAGTCGCTCAGCTTTCTGCCTTTTTTCCTCCTGCTGTGCAAACTGAAACAGAAGGGAGCAACCCAACATCACCATCATTCACTGTGGTTTTAAATCACCAGGCTATGTTCGCAGGAATTTTAAACATGGCTCCCTACATTTTTTTATATACACCAGGAGCTAGAATGCTGCACAACGAAGACATGGAGGGTCACGAATGTGAGAACAATTTATTTTCAAGGGGAAATGCCCCCTCTCAGCTTCTGCGCTAGGAGTAGGACCCTCAAATACATGTACTCCTTTGATATCTGTTGGTGTGAGCACAATATGATCTGATTCCACGGCACCTTGTATTGGTTGCACCACAGGTGCCAGAGCAACGCAGGGGGCATAGCTATGACCTTCCCACCCTTCCATGAAACCACTAACAGGTGTTGCAGGAAGGTTTCTTGAGCTACCCACTGCCTGAAACCTTCTGGCAGCATTAACTTGTGCTTTATATAGCATTGGAGCTTAAAACGTCAGTGATATCAGATGGAACTGAGCAAATATCTGTCAACAGCCTGGACCAGTGGCTTCTGGAAGTACATGCTGTTGAGCAAGGGACCCTCCATGTATAGTCTACAATCCTCCTTTCCACATTGGGCAAAAGATTCCTGTATTGCAGGGAGTTGGACTAGATGATCCTCGTCATCCCTTCCAACTCTACAATTCTATGATTAACAGTCCTCGCTTGCAGGAATCCAAATGCAGTGTCACTGCCTCTCAGCCTAACCAACCTCACAGGTTTGTTGTGGGGGTTAACTAATGAGCAGGGGCGGGAATTGTGAGTGCTACCTTGACCTCATTGGAGAAAAAGGTGTGATACAGATGAATGGATGAGTGAATGCACGCGCCACAAATCGAATCCTTCCGTCAAGGGTTCTAGTGCTATCCTTCACCTGTTTTATCTTCTCCCTCTGTTCTGAGGCGCTTCCACTGGAGCTGATATGGAGGCTCTTCTTATACATGGCCATACGGGTCTTCCCTTCGCTCCTCTGAATTTTGGGGAGACGGCCTTTCTCTTGCTGCTGCCGAATTTTCAGCTGCTCCATCATTCGCTGGTTATACCGTTGCATTTGCTCACGCTCCTGGAATAGCAACGGCAGCCCAGGGTTGGGGTGCGGGGTGAGAAGAGGTCAGTCAATACAATATATGTTGCAAGTTTACAGTCAAAGTGAATGGTGACATTGGATATTTGCCCAGGGTAATATTCAACAGACCACAAAGGGGACAGACAAAGATAGTGCAGCTTTAGTTTAAGGAAAATAAAACCACTTCTATGAAAATTCACCATGGCTTATTCAAGGGGCCCAGTTAGATAAAAGCTAATGGAAATGCAACAGACACTATGGCAAGAATATTTTGACATTGGTCCTATTGAAGCACACTCACTCACTCACTCATTCACTCACTCACTCACTCACTCACACAAACAAACCAACTGCATGAGAGAGAGGCTGTGCTGACCTGGGTTGATGAGAGTTGTAGTCCAAAACATTTGAGGGCCCCAGAATGGTGAAGGCTGGCCTAAAGTAAGTGGTGGACTCTTCTTCATTGGAGATTTGTAAACAGAGGTTGGATTGTCATCTGTCAGGGATTTTTCAGCTGCGATTCCTGCATTGCTGGGAGTTGGTCTAGATCAGTGTTTCCCAACCTTGGGTCTTCAGCTGTTTTTGGACTACAATTCTCATCATCTCTAGCTAGCCAGATCAGTGGTCAGGGATTATGGGAATTGTAGTCAGAAAACAGCTGGAGACCCAAGATTGGGAAACACTGATCTAGATGATCCTTTGGGTTCCATTCAACTCTACAATTCTATGAGTCTATGAATCTATAAGCACAAAACTGTACTCCTATAACTGACCATAGGTGTTCCCTCTCTGGACTTTCTATGTTTGACTGCACTGACTATGGTTAAATATACGCAGTACTCACACCCAATGCAAGCAAGCAACAGGGAGGCCATTTTCTGTAAATCTGCTGAGGTCAATTCTTTCACAGTAACTCCACACCTTGCTCATCCATAGGAAGCATTAGAGTCATTAAAGAAAATAAATCAGACTGAAACTCTGCTACCTTCTCGTGTTTCCGGAGCAGTTCATGCCTCTGGAGGAAATACTGGTCTTTCAGCTGTTGCTTAATAAGCTGGTGTTTCTCCTGTAGGTGGTGCTCTTCCAGATCCCAGATGGTAGCTTCCCGATCTGAGAAATAGGTATAAAATGGCATATGGTCATTACACACTTTACCACAGAGGGGGGGAAATAGGCAAAGAAGTTATCAATCACATATGATTCCAGAAGGTAAAGGGACTTCCCAATGGTGGCTGGTCCCCATGGGGAGCAGTAGGGCAGAAGGCAGCAAGACCCACAGCAAATGGAGTCAGAGCCAAAGACAGGCAGAGCAGGCCAAGCAATTCTAGTTGCATTCCCATCCTCCTCCCTGCCAAATTCTACAACGGCAACACTGAGACTGAGGAGGAAGATGACTGGCAATGCCACTTCCTGGACTGGTTGCCAGCGAGAAGGCAAGAAGGTGGAGGCTGGTTGAGGGTCAAATAAGGTGGGCAGAGCTATTCCCCACTCGCCTTAATGGACCGTCCTCCACTGGAGAATCCAGTCACTTCCCTTTCCAAGCACAACCACCACCTCAGCCTAACCAAATACTCAAGGCAAAACTGTAGGATAAGCTGACCAAGGAAGGGAGAGGATAGTATGCAAGAAAGAGAAAAAGAAGCACAGACTAGCAGGGCGGTCTAGCTTTTCATACCAAGTGGGCCACAAGAGTACTATGGAACCCATAGACTGCAGACTTCCTTGTCACATGGGGGGAGGCCAACATTTGGTGTCCCCCACCTCCTCAAAGCTGGGAAAGTGCTAGCCAGGTTTTGGGAAGGAGGTGGGAGGACTCCAAGACCCTGCCAGAGCCCTCACGTCTCCTTCCGAAAGCCCAGCGCTTCACTTACCTAGCTTTGGGAAGGCAGCGTGAAGGCAGCACGAGGGCTGCCCGAGAGCCGCCCAAAAAGGCATCGAGGGCAACATGAGGCCCTTGGATCGCATGTTGGACCACCCTGGACTCAATGAAGTCTGACCCCAGGCTCAGTAACTGTCCCTTAACGTCATTTATACTCCTGCAACTCCTGGTGCTGCCAGGTCTATACTTGAGGGGTGAGATGATGAGAAGGACAGGGATTTCTTTGGGCAGAGGTGCAGAAGGTATGAAAGAAGGATGCGGAAGGGGCAGAAAGACGGCTAGAGAATCCTTGCAGTTAAGAGAAAAATGCTATACCCCCTTTCCCAGGCTGTATAGTGGCTATAAGCTATTGGGAAAAACTGCAACTTGAGACTGCTTAGCTACTCTTTCCAAATTACATCGTTCATTAAAATGACTACTACAGAACGCTTTGACAGGACGTGGCATGCTTTTTGCTACTGTCTTTGGCACTAACTCACCTGCTCACTTATAGTTATGTCAATAACTCTCCTTGGAGGAAACTCACCCCCACCTGGTGTCTTGAGGGTGTTTTGAATCCCATCCCCATCAGCCCCAGCATGCCTGACTAATGGGAGCTGTAGTCCATCAACATCTGGAGGGCACCAAGTTAGAGAAATCTCCTCCCCACTTTTTTTGGGGGGGGTGGGGACGACACCCTCTCACCTCTCATAAGCTGTTGTTTTTTGTTGAGGCACTCTCTCTCCTTGTCACAGATCTCCTTCCGATTTTGGGTGGTGATATTCTTCATGGCCTGTTCCAGCTCCTCAGCCTGTTTGGCTTCAAACTCTTGCTCCTGGAAGAAAGGAGACAGTAGCAAAAGAGATGCTCTTATTGGTATGATGCCTAAAGCTTTTCTTATGAGTGGAAGCAGGATGGGTGGTATGATTCTGCTTCCTCATCCTGATAACTGGGAGGCAGGGAATCCAATGTGTCCATATGGGTCTTGGCCACACTACGGGCTTAATATCTCTAGAGCTTACCATGACTTGCTTTCTCTGTGCAAACTCCTCCATCTTTGTTTTCATGGTCCCCTTGCGCTGTTGTCGGGGGAGCTTCTCAATGTCACTCTTGAGCTTGAAACGAAAGACACCAACAAAAGTTCTTACTGGTCCAATTTCCTAACAAGTCTGAGCAAAAGTGATTTATCACGTTGGCCGTGTCACCTGATGGTTTGGCTTTCAATTCTCCAGTTTTATGCTGACATTATGCTACCACTTTGATTTGCTTTCATTTCACCCTCACCTATTTTTCTGTTAGTGTTTCGTAAGTCGCTTGTTTCTGGGTGGGGGTGGTTCTTACTTTTATGTTCTTCCCTGGCAGCATAGTTACAGACAAGTGAATTTAGAAAAAGGGTAGGGAACCCTCAGGGCCCAGGGACAGAATGTGACCCTTTGGCCTCTACCTGGCCCTCAGGAATCTCTAGGTCACGCTCCCTGCCCTGGCTGCACCCCTACCCACCTCCTCCCTCAAGTGCTTTTGCCTGGATGGAATGTGCCCCTGAGCTGTGACAATGGAGGATGGGCAGGTGTCTGTCTGTGTGCATTTGCATAGCTTCTGTTTTGCTGTTCACTCTCCTCCCTTTCTTCAGCACCCCTAAATCTTGGAGCTCTGCCCTCAACTTCCCTTCCCTTCCACAGCTTGTCTGTGACATGAGAGCACCTCAGCCAATGACAGCAGGAGGACTGAGGGGGCTTTCAGATAGGCCAGTGCCAACAAATAAATCTAAGATTTCCCTGTGCAAGATTTTGGCCCAACGTCGACTCTTACCTCCTTCTTCCTTTTCTTCAGCTGCTCCTGAAATTTAACAAGATCTTGTTCCTGCTCAGCGCGGATACGCTTGGACTCTTCACGGCGGCGCAGCGTGTGTTCCTGCTCCATCTTTTCAATTTGCTGCTTCTGCTGACGTTCCAGATTTTCCAGTTCGGTGTCATAGAATTTCTTCTTTGTCTGTACGAGACCAAAGAGGACATTCAGGCTTCCTTATACATAGTTGGGAGATTTGACTACCTTAGTATTTTTCATCATTTAATTAATAAAGCAAAGTGCAAAGGCACAACTTAAAATGAATCCACCTTAAAACTTTTTTGAACATATCCAAATCTTGTTGCATCTCTGAGCATTAGCAGTTCTAAATACTGAAGGCAGATTGTCTGGGGACAGTGTGTCCCTGGGAGTCTCTCTTCCCAGATGAGCACCTCACACATCAACAGCGTTTCAGGCAGGGGGCTTTCCCAGACCTACCTGGAGATGTTGGAGATTGAACCGAGGACATTCTGCATGCAAAGCAAATCCTCTACCACTTGGCTATGGTCCTTTCCCCCCATATATGGAATAAAACTGGTGAGAGACCATGACAGGGCCCTTTCGGTAGTGGCCTCTGTCCTATGGAACTCATAAGCCTAGGGAAGCTTGCCTCACTATTCTGAAACCAGAATAACAAACCAGAGTTTCTAAATCACTGGTCTACATCTTGTGGGTCAGATCCCACTAGTGGTTCGTGACCTGATCCAAGGAGGTTTGCAACAGGATCACTGCCACCATGAAAATATATTAAGAAAAGATTAAGAAATGAGTCCCCAAATGCATCTTTGGGTTAAATGGTAGGTCTGAAAAAAGCTGAAGATACCTGTTCTAAACAATAAGCAAAGGATTAAAAATATGTTTTATGAGATGGCATTGCGATTTTTAAAAAATTAAGTTCATACACTGAAGGTTTTGTGAACATTATTTGTAAAAAGGCTAATTTGTGAGAAATGTGAGTTGCTTTAATTGCTTCCATTGTTGATATTGTTTCTTTGCATGCCATATTTTTAATATATATATATTACTCTGTGTAAGCTACCTCGCAGAAACGGAAGAGAATAGTAAACAAGCTGCAGTAGCCTTCTAGTTCCCTCACATATATACGGCAGGGAGCAGACTAGGAGCTGGATGTGTGTGTGACAATGTTGTCTCCTGCCACACACCTGGATCTCCTGAGCAGCACCGCCTTCTGACACATTAAGCAGCAGAGATGCCTGGAGGGCATGAGCTGGAGCAAGCAAATGGGATGGCTGCATCTGCTTACAGGCTGTGGCTGAAGCAGAACAGGAAAGAATGCTCGCCCGCCTTTTCCTCACAGAAGGAGAAATATCTGCCAGCAACAGGATTGAAATCAGCGCGCAGGATTTCGGCAGAGTTTTACAAGAATATTTGGGCTAAACCAACTCAGTGAGAGGGTGGCTGAAGAAACACCCAATAATGGAACAGTCTGCATGTGCAAACTCTACACTACTCCCTCAGGTTCAGATAATACTTCCCCACCCCCGCCCCACTTTCCATACCACAGTGCCTGTGTAGCTATTGCACTTCCTCCAAAACCATTCACACCTTCAGAAAGCCTTCTTCCCAAGAGAGATCTTCACTTACATAAGGGTGAGAAATGGAAACATTTTCCAAACATACTGAGGCTTAAGCACAGCAGAGTCCTAACGAATGCATTGTGTGGGTTGCATAGTTAACTGCTGCAGACAGAGCTACTGACATACTGAACTCCACTTTAAAGGAAGGCTGGGAAGGAACCAAGTCACACCACTTGTCACTCTAGCTCAGTATTGGCTACATTGACTAGCAGGGTCTCTCTGGGGTTTGACAGGGGCCACTGTCTGACGTTCCCTTAAACAGAGCACAGTACATGACATTGCTAGAGATACCTTGTGTGGGGGATTTTGTCAGGGGCCCAGCTCAGCCCTGTAAAAAGTTTACCTGTGGTCTCCTAAGGTCAGTCTCAGTCAATCTACTGGCACAGATCCTTGAAAGCCTAATAACCTTTGGCAACCCCCGTTGTACACCCCTTGCCATTCTTTTAACTGTATGCCATGGGGGCCGGGAAGGGAAAGGAAGGAGGAGTTGGCTTTAGCAATACTTAAAATATGGAACAAGCACACATGCTGCAGAAAACTGGGGACTCCAGCCCCCAAATATGTGCCCTCGCTTTTAAGCTGAAATGAAAATGTGGAATACCTGCATGAGAGAGTTTGGGAAATTGTTAGGCATATGAGGATACGTATATGGGGAGTGCCACAATAACTGTGAATGTGTTGTGTTGCAGTTTCAGCAAGTGCCTCGTTATTTTTGATTCAGCAAGATTTCCAGAAAATTTGAAGGCATACAGGAACAAGCTGAAACTGTTCCTCAATTAAAAATATGACAATCTTGCATTGTCTCCTTATCCTGTCAGGTTTCACACACAGGAAGAAACACGCACTTTGAAGCATCCAACCTATGCTAAGCTATTCTTTGCAGGAATGCCATAACATGGCTTCAGAGATGTTACTTTTCTTCTTGGCCAGATTTAAAATCAACACTGAACTGACAGAAAGAGAAAGAACACCACATCAACAAGTTCTGCTGAAAGACTCCAGAATATGTAAAAGTACACATGTATTTATTGGGGGGGGGAGAGGGGAATAGCCTGAAGAAAATGTCACCTTTTTTAAAAAAAGGGGGCGGCGGAATATATTTGAAACTGAGAAAGATTCACATAGCATTTTAAGGCCTATTGTTTTGTTTCCACAACATTTCTTTTTGACCCTTCAAAAGCTGGGCCATTGCAGCAGACCTCTCCAGCATCCAAGGTGACCACTTTTTTTGTTGAACTGCTGCAAAGAAAAGGCCTTGCGCCATAAGAGCAGCACCAGAACACAGCCAACGCCAGACCGGATGGAAGTGTCCATTTACAATGGCCCTTCGCCTCGCCACATAGCCCCAGCACATGGAGGGAAAAGCTAATGATTCCATCAACATGCCTCCAGTTTCATTTATAGTGGCTAGCGTCCTGCCTAGTCTGGGCTAACAGGCTATACAATATATGCCTTGTGAGTGGCGTGTTTCTCCTCTCCCCACTGCTTCCCACCAGCATGCGGCCCGATATCTTTGAATAAGAGAGAGGAATTTGGCTTCTCTTTGCCACGTACATGCATTTCCTGCTCAAAGCGCTTCAGCATTTGCTCCAACTGCAGGTGATGCTTGCTGGTCAGCTGGGTCTGGTTCCGGTGCTCCTCTTTCTGAAGCAGACGCAGCTCCCGCAACTCCTGGCGCCTGTAGGATTAAAGTGGAGAAGAAGTTCAGGAACGGAGGACCAGTTCTCCCTGTACTGCCAGGGCAGGCAGTCTCTGGAAGCTAAAAAAAGGGAGGGGGAGACAAGGAGCACAATCCATACTAAAATAACCACAGTGACTGAGTGTTCCTAGTGTCAGAATCGTTGCTTCAAGGAGTTGCTGCCTCCTTGTGTCACAGCCACACTTCTCACCACTTGTCCCTTTCAGGCAGGATATTGAGAAGGGGCTGCTTCCCTGTCCGCTGGCCTTGAATTATTCACCTTCCTTGTACAGACACTTTGAATAAATAGACGTACAATATAACCCCACAATGAACTATGAGGAAGCATACCTCACTGACTGAAGCCCAGTGGGCTCAGACAAATGCTACAAGCTATAGCTGTGGGTCTCCCCTGATTATTTTTAAGTCAAGGATTAGAAAGTTGGTGTCACCTGTCAGATTTTGTTTAGGTTGTAGACCTATCAACAAGGTAAGGCTTTCGAAAAGCATGCTTTTGCAGCTCTGTGAAGAGAAGTACCTGAATTTGCTGTTAGACACTTATCAGAAACTGCTGTACTTCTACAGTGAAGTCCCTATTGATCCCCTAGTTCAGGAAAGGAGATCGGAAGAGAAGAAGGGAGGGAGGGAGGGAGGGAGGGAGGGAGGGAGGGAGGGAGGGAGAAAGAAAGAAAGAAGAAAGAAAGAAAGAAAGAAAGAAAGAGTCCTGAACTCATAGGTCAGTACAGTGGTGCCCCGCAAGACGAAATTAATTCGTTCCGCAAGTTTTGTCGTCTAGCGAATTTTTCGTCTTGCGAATTATTATTTAGACAAAGGAAACAAAGTCGCGAGACGTTTTCGTCTTGCGAAGCAAGCCCATAGGGAAATTCGTCTTGCGAGGCAACTCGCAAACGGAAAAACCTTTCGTCTAGCGAGTTTTTTGTCTTGCGAGGCATTCGTCTTGCGAGGTACCACTGTATTTATATTGATTTTATGCCAAAAAACAACTATGTTGTGGGCTCTGGACCACAGACCAGAGCAGTTTAAAGGCTGTTCACTGCCTGGCACCAGGCTATATGGCAGTGCTGCTGCCAGGTTTTTGGTCCACACCGTCCTTGGTGAGCACCTTGACTGCTCATGTCCACCATTTGCCATGTCAGAGAGGAAACCTATGAATTTGAAGACAGTCACTTCACTAAGCAGGAGAACCACCAGAAGTGGCACTTAAAAGCAACAGAACAAAAACAGGTCTAGCTTCACAAACACTTCTAACAAGCTGCTATATACACCATATAGCAACAACCTTAATTTGTGCAAACAGATAGGCTCTGGAAATGGCCATAACTCCCTGTTACTCATAAGGAGATCATGCTTTTACAGATCTGCAGCTTTCATGCTATATTTTTAACTGCCCAAAATATATTGCGTGATGAATCCCCTGGTTCCCTACCACTTCATACAACTCTATGGGGAAAGTGAAAAGCATAGAGAAAACTATATTCTTAGAAAGCCTGGTGTGCCCATATCTCCACCCCAAACAAAAATCCCCTGATTTTCAGCTTGCCTGAGGAATCTCATCTCTTCATCTTTCTTCTCATCCTCACTGATGATTTTTGAGGTAGTGACGCTCACTTCTACTCCATCCACAACAAATCTCCTGGTCCGTTTCAGTGTCATCTTCTGCATTTTTGCATCCTATGAAATCAATCGAATGTTTATTATGGTGAACCAACCATTAAAGAAAATTACACACACACACACACACACACATATATACATCACAGCCTAACAAGAACAAAGGTGAGTAAAGTTGGGAACTAACGATCACAGGGGGACTAGGATATATTACAACATTCAGATTTATCACCACCTGCCCAATAATGGTTTTATCAGACTCTTCAAGGAAGATAACTCAGGAGAGACTTTAAGAATCAGCTATCTCATGTAGGAGTAAATTTTGTGTCCTGACCCCTTGATAGAATCAGTTCGTTGGAGAATGAGTCAGAGAGACATCTTGCTCAAAGGTTAGCTGAGTGAAGCCTGGTTTCCATGATACACAAATCCCACTTGTTGAGCCCAAATTCTTACCTTAAGAGAGAGGGACCCGCTGCCTCTGTTCAGGGACAGGTCGGTAGACAAGGAGATACTGAGGTCCATGCTCTCTGAGGCAGAGGTGCTACCTGAATCAGAGTCCTGCTTGGAGCTGCCATCCTCAAACTGAGAGGAAGAACTCAAACTCCCATTGGGGAGCTTTTCTTCAACCGGCGTCTCAAGGAGGCTGCTCTCTGGCCGGCTTCCCACATTGGAATCATCTTTGCTTACTGGTTCAGTGTCCTTATTTTGGTAGACAAGACTGCTGCTCTCGGCTGGCTCAACGTTCTTGTTGAGTTGCAGCAACTGGGGGCTGGTGTCTGGCTTTTCTTTGGCACTGGCTTCATCTGTGTAATCCGCAATTCCAGACAAGTTTGTACTGCTGTTGTTTTTGCCTGGCTTTTCGTTGCTAGCCACTTCCTTTGAAACCTTGCTGCCCTTCCCATTTATGGTTTCAGTGACTTGCTGTAGAGGCAACATGGGTCCATTGGCCACAAGTGACAAGCCGTTTTCTGGAGACTTCTCTTTTTGCAAACTTAGCTGGCCTGGCACAGAAGAGTCCCTCTTATTAGCATCAAGGGGCTGAGTAAAGAAAAGGGAAAGAGAAAGGTCATAAATTTTGACTTTGTTCTCCTTAAAAAATTTAACTGAGGAGTCAAATACCAAACATATGCATTGAGAAATGTACTGTGTGTGTTTTTTTTTTATTTTAAAAAAGACCAAAATGTCCTCTGCCTCTGAGTATTTGTAGTGTAAGGAGACCATTGAAACCTTGAACTAGCAGATCTTTTGTCTTCTACTTTTTGTTTTATTTCAAATAATTGATTTAAAAAATATATTATATACTATCCTTCACCAGAGCAGCTTACATACTTAAAAAGCTAGAAGATAAAAACACATGAATAAAACTGGCAGAAAAAACAAGTACCATCAACGAGCTCTAAAAATTTGTCATGAGTGTCGTCTCTTAGGAAACTCTTTCCTGCTGGATTCTCTGGGAGCTCTTTAAGCGACACTTGAAGACTCTACTCTCCCCCTTACATCTTGGGGGTTGAGTGGAAGGAGGAGTGAAGAAGACCTGCCCGCAATTCCTGACACTGAGTCCTCAGCCTCCACAGATGAGGACCCCCTCAGGGACAGCAGTTGCGTTGCTCTTCCCACTTCTAAAGGTAGTTCCAGAGTTGGGAGGGAGAAGGAAACACACAGCCACTCATCCTCAACGCCCCCACCTCCCTTGAGGAGCCAGGCTTGCATTTCCTAATTGCAACTTCAGTCAGAGAGGAAGCACTCCTTAACTTCTTTCCCAGTACTGGCACCGGGTGCTTGAGTTTAAGGGAACAATGGGTTGGGGTACAGGTATAGGACACAGAGCAGTGACTCTGCTCCGACAACTAGAGTCTCCATGAGAAGAGTTTTTGGTTTGTTTTCATGAATGTTGAAAAAGCACCTCTCTTGGCGATTTCAACTACCCCCTTGAAACTTTGTCTATTTTCTGTCCAAGTCCTAGACAATCGAAGGAAGTCTGCAAAAACTCCAAAGTCTGGTTTGTCAGGCTCCAGGGAACGGCGTTGTGCCTGAAGCAGTTTCATCATTTTCTCCACAGAAAAGTTCCATGTAGGATAAGGAACATGCCCCCCGCATCCCTTGCCCTGGGTCAGAACAGACCTCTTTTAGATTGGAACCCTGGCATCAGCCATCAGCAGCATATTTAATCTTGCCAGTTGTTTCTGAACTGCTTCCATCCATGAATGAACACACACACACACACACACACACACACACACACACACACACAACTTCTCCTATAGCCTCCTATCTGCACAAGCCAAGCCCAATACCAGCCAGCAGGATCCAGGGCGTAGAACACATTTTTAGTCCCAAATGGCACAGGGACATTTTCCTTGGGGCAAAGGAGGCAGCAGACAACATCTTCCCATGTGGCCGTTTTAGCCATATAGTGAGTGTCACACATGAAGAGGCACATTCAGCATTAACTTAGGAGACTTCTCTCACGAGAGGAAAGCGGAGGGGCTGGCTTTCTGCCCATCACATTGTTTCCAGGGCTTGTTGGCTGCTGCGTGAGGAGGAATCGCTCCCCAACCAAGGAGGCATTTTTCCTGTCCACCTGCATGAGAAACAACAAAGTGGCTCCCCACCCCCCAATCCTGAGAAAAACACAGTCAATGCAGGGGTCAAAGGTGGTCCTCACTTTACTTTTCTGTATCTAGCTAGCTTTTGTTGTGAAAGCTTTTTGAAAAATATAAGCATTTTGTGTATTCCCGCAGGTGTTGGGGTTTGCCTTCCTTCTTAAAAAGAAGCATTTCCTTCATGCAGCAGGATAGATAGAAAGAATGAAAGACGACAGAAAGAATGAAACTTACAGATGCACATTCTGGTGAGTCATCCTCTTCTCCTTCCTCTCTATTGTCTTCAATTTCCTCCATCACTTCAGCCTTTGCCTCAGCCACAAGCTCACGTAGGGCTCTGTTAGTAGTGACCTTGCTGACAAAAGGATGCTGAAAACCAAGAACGTGTGACCGTATTGGAATGAATAATCCTGCAACCAAAGTCATGATGACTCAAAGTGGACTTCAGGGGCCACTTTCAGCTGCTCCCCTCACCCTGCCCAAATTCATTCATGCAAGTAGACTCATAAGCAATGTACAGTGGCACCTCTGGTTATGTACTTAATTCGTTCCGGAGGTCTGTTCTTAACCTGAAACCGTTCTTAACCTGAAGCACCACTTTAGCTAATGGGGCCTCCTGCTGCTGCCGCACCGCCGGAGCACGGTTTCTGTTCTCATCCTGAAGCAAAGTTCTTAACCCAAGGTACTATTTCTGGGTTAGCGGAGTCTGTAACCTGAAGCGTATGTAACCTGAAGCATATGTAACCCGAGGTACCACTGTAATCTCTCATACAAGTGCTATGGGCAGTCTGCATTCTCTCTAGCTTTGAAATGAACATGCTAGATCACAGGAAGTAAATCTCTGTATTCTTGGGAGCAAAACGGTCTCTTCAGAAAGCAATACAGGGACCAGAAGGGCATTTTGTAATGCAATTTGACCCCTGCATGTATTGTGAGGGCTCAGCTAAGTTTGTGGCACAGTTGTGTTTAGATAGTTGGAGAAAACAACTACCCAAGTAGAAAAAAATGCAAAGATGTGGAATACATGTCTCTCACAACTGTGGGGAACAATTCTCTCTTTTTCCCTTGCAGGTGAAACTATGGGGGAAGAGTTTCAAAACACCTTGATTAAAACTGAGCAGGATTGCAGTGAGGCAGACAAAAATGTATCCTCATGGGTCACATCCAATCCATGGGGCAGCAATTTGCTGTAAGTCCTGGAAGACCTGCTTCCTCCCAGCCTTGCAGGTCTTTTCCCACATGACCTGGGAGGGTGAGGCCCTGACTGACTCCAGCTACAAAAGCTGAGGCTGATGAACAGAATCTTGGCTTGGGGTATTTGTATAGGGTGGGGATTTTTGCAGGGGGCTGTTGCTATTAATTTTCTTGTATCTTATGATCTATGTGGAAATTGTTCAGTTTGGTTGTGCACTTTTGTTGTTTTGTTTGTTGTTTATGACTACTTTTGTTATGTTTGTAGCTATACAATTTTTTAAAAATACATTGTAAGCTGCCTTGAGCATGGTGTTAACTTTGGAAAGGCAGCATACAAATAAACTGATTGATTTGACTGAAAGCTGTACCGTGACACTTTGAACAGTCATAGCATCTCCCAAAGAAGCGTGGGAACTGCAGTTGGTTAAGAGTCCGGAGAGTTGTTAAGAGATCCCTGTTCCCATCTCAGAGCTGCAATTCAGAGAATAGTTAAACATCAATCCATGTTCCCAGGGAACTCTGTGAGGTGAATACTGCTCTCCTAACAACTCTCAGCACCCTTAACAAACTTCACTTCCCAGGATCCTTTGGGAAAGCATGACTGCTTAAAGTGGTATGACACTGCTCTAAATGGGCAGATGGGGCCTTCAATATTAATGTTCTTGAACATGGAAGTTGTTACAGCTTGATAGCCATAACCCCCCAGACCCCATTACAATGCTTGCACAAGAACAGTGTTCCCATGAGCAACACAAGCAGCTGAAAGTAGTGTGAGACCTGGTCCTTAAGAGCCCCATGTGCTCTGTACCAAGATGGCTTGCATAAGTACAAACATACCTGGTGACAGTGCAAAAACCCTCTATACAAACTAAGCAGAATAGTCTCAAAGTCTGTTGGCACATTTACCCTTGTTCAACTTTAATCTTGCCATCACAGAGGAAAAGACACATCGCAGGCCTACATTGCACAGGCTATTGAGGCTGCATAGTCCTTAACACTAACCTGGGAGGAAGCACCACTGAACTCCATGAGGCTCATTTCAGAGGAGACATTCACAGGACTGCACTGTTAATGTATGACACATGTGCTCCATGAGCAGCCCCAATTCCCACTCATGCTTTCTGTTCTTCCTCCTGGAGAGGAATAATCTCCAGATTTGGACCTCCATGTGCAGCGGACAAGTCACCTGTGCTATAGAGATGTGTGTGCACATCTACTTCCTAGCACCACAGAAAGAGGGTCATCCAACCAAGTAAGCATGCGAACTGGCCCCAAACTTCATTAAGAAATCGTCCCCTAGTTGACAATACAGTACTGCCAATTTCCTCTCTGTTTCATGGAGTCAATACACTCAGAACTCTTCCAACAAGCCACATTAGATGCAGACTCCCTCTCCTCCATCTACTGATTAGACAACTTTTCCTTTTTAACCACAGGCTCATAGTAAAGCATAACCATTTGGACAGAAACTGAAAAAAATACACACAAGTGCTATGCATGGTTCTAAAGTAGCCAAGGAGAATTTTCCAAAATAAAGAAGTATCTAGGAATGGTGGCTGCTGTATGAGTGTTGCTAGAAAATTACATTCACCTTTTTTACACTGGAGTCAAGTAAGAGGGTGGGTAGGTGGAAGCAACTGAAAGGCCCAGTAAAAGTATGGGGAGGCTGGGCAGTCAGCACTGGCAGTCAAATTTGCATTGCTATACCTCCTAACAGTGGTATAGTTTGTGTCCAGTTAGGAGCTGCAATTACAGCAGACAGGCTCAACTTTTCTATGCACCAGCACACCAAAAACAAGTTTGCGCTACGTGGGCTACCAACCTGCAAGCAGTTGCTCATGTATGTATCTATTTTATGCATTTATTGACTGGGGATCCTGCACTTACCTCCAGCAATTGTGCCGCAGTCGGACGTGTCTCGGGGTTCTTATCAAGCGCAGTCTTCAGGAAGTCATTAAATTCTGGAGACCTTTATGCACAAAGAAACAAACAGAGTTGGCTAGAACTTCAGAAGGGAGGAAACGGTTCCAAGCACCCCACAGCCCACACCAATTATATTCCCAGTATTATCGCCACAAATTATTGTTCGGTTAGCCCTAATGGGTTGAAAGGAAGAGCTACTGAGACAAAGCAGCACAAACATATTAAAAACAATAACATTTTCTGAATACGCAGAAATGTTGCCTGGTTAATTACAGATTTAGCACTTCCCTTCAAAGCTCCGGAGCAACAGCTGTTCAGAAGCAAGTTACATGCTGTCACTCTATTTCTCAATTCATGCCAAAAAGCCCAAATGTTAGCAAGCTCACATGAGGACAATTGTACGCTTGAGCTCGTGTTAATACAAAGCCTTCTGTCAGGCAAGCGATAATAACATCATCCTGCCCCCCCCCCCCCGCTTTCCCATCCAATGTTGTCTTCTATGTAAAGCCAGGACAAAGAACTTGTTGGCAGTTTCTACACACGACTGCAGAAACTGTGTCACAAGCAAGTTTATCCATGGAAGCTACCACCCAGTGATTTTCATTGAATGTGATCCTGTATAATTTGGATTGTGGAGCATAGGGAGAAAAAGCTTCAGGGCTGTTCACTCCTCTCTTTAACAACCAGAAGGTCTGGCTAGGTATTTACTCCAATGCAGCATCTATACACTTGGAGAACGCACAGGAAATACTCTAAAGGAGTGAAAGGGCAAAGATGTATAGGCCAGATGCATGTAGAGAACTGAAAGTTGGCCTGTAAGGGGTGGGAATTGGGCCAGATCCAGTTTCACACCCATGGCCGACTCTGACCAGTGGTGGCTCTCAGGATGCAACCCAAAACATCAAGGAGGCACCAGGTTGGGGAAGACTAGTGCTATTATATGCTAAGTTTGTATGGCACCCTTCCTCTGAAGAGCTCAGGGTGACATACATTGGGTTATCTCTCTACATCCTTATGAAAGCACTTCATGGAAATAGGGTAGGTTGGAAAATTGGTCTTGCCTAAGGTTATTCAGTGAGCACATGGACAAGTGGGGGTTTGTACAGAAGAAATTAGTCTTTGTTATTATCTTGATCTAGACAAAGGTAACCCATAGTTGTTTGGGTAAACAAACAGGGACCGACCGACCAACAGACAGACTCCCTCTCACAGACCCACAAGTGCAAATGCACTTTAAAAAAAAAAAGGTCTTCTCACCACTTTGAGGGATAGTTAAGAGTGGGAGGATCAGATTTGGCTATTTTCAGCAGGACCCTCATGGGATTGAGTTCATGATGAGGAGGCTCTATCTGGGCCATTTCTATCAGAGTTATGCCCAAGGACCAGATGTCAGCTTTGTAGTCGTAGGGGGTGTCTTTCATGGTCTCGCACATCACCACTTCAGGAGCCATCCTAAAAAGAAATAACAAAGAATTGGGTGCTCTGCTGCCAACATATTACCATTGATCAGTGGTTTTGAAGAACACCTCCCCACCCCAGCTAATCTATATATTTAATCGGTTATTAGCCTAGAGTCAGGAGGAGCGTCTTCTGCTGCCCTTGGCATGATCTATCCAGAGTTAAGCACTTATAGGTCACACTGATTTTTACTGGAGAGTTGAGCACACACGTAATTCTCTCATTGCAATAAATGGGATGTGGAAATGGTTAAATCTATCGGCTAAAGACAGTATCCAGTTCACCCGCCCCCCTCCGGCAACCACCATTCATCTCTCCACTCAACAGGCTGCAGCGACAGAAAACCAGCAGGCCAATGACATCTGGCCTGGATGTTGCTTTAGATGGCAAATTAATGCTCACTGATTGCATCCCCTTAGCAACGTGGCTGATTTAGAGATTAAATTCCTAGAGTGAATCACTGCTCTCATACACTTGGATCTGCTTCAAAAAGGACATTCCACCAAATGGTAGGGAGTAAAAGAGAGGGGTAGGGGGAGAGAATGGCCTAGATTTGTCAACATCTCATACCAGTTATCGGACTTGTAGCATTTTCACTGATGTCACATAAAACAATAATTAAAAACTGCCTTTCATCTAGGTTTGCAGCCTCTTGCATATTTGCATAGACTCATAGAACTGGAGAGTTGGAAGGGACCCCAAGAATCATCTAGTCCAACCCCCAGCAATGCAGGACACTCAACATAGTTTCCCCCCTGTGCAAGTTTGTTGATGTACTCTTTGTGCTCCCCTATGCTTGAAGCACTTTGTAGTGAGGAGGGTCCAGGGAGGAGGCAGGCAGGGCTCAACTCAACAGGAGGGAATCTTGGCGGGCGAAGCAGGGCATGTGCCCCTAGCCAGCCAACTGGCCGGTTCCTGCCTTCTGAGCCCAAATGTGGCAGCCACTGGCCCAGCTTGTCTCCCACCAACCTCCAGGGCCAGCAGACATGTGCACTCCAATGAATCTCTTATGATTCAATTCATTAAAATACACACAAAGATGTAATTGCACAGCACTGAGAGTAAAACAGAGATCCTCAACCTTCTTGAGCCCAGGGGCAGCTTTGGAAACCTAAGAAACCATTACGAGCACCACAAAATATCTGTTTTGCAGAAGAAAAACACGTCATACTCAGACACACACCACTGAAAAGAGGCAGAACACCTACAACGCTCCCCCTCCAAAAAAACAAAAACAAATGAAATGCAGGCAAAAAACATTTCCATTTTTAAAAAAGGCTAGGAGGGGCTGGGGACCTTGGCAGGTGCCTGATGGTGCTGGGGTGCCCATAGGTGCCATTTGGGGGACCCCAGGAGGAAACACCAAGCACACGGCATATACACATGGCCACACATTCTCTGACACACTTCCACTCGTGTGGATAGTTTACAATTCAGCCAAGAGGCAGGTAGCACCTTCATTCTTGAGCTGGAATATATATGCCCTTATTTGGTGGTGGCCTTTTCAAGCATCTTGCAAATCTGAATTCATTTACTCACCAGTACGGTGTCCCAATGAAGGAATCCCGTCTTTGCAAAGTCTTCATGTTTTTGGCAGATACTCCAAAATCCGCTGAAAAGAGTTTGATCATGTTAAATCCTCTGATACCGGCTGCAAGGTGCTTGTGTGCCTTAAGCAGCTCAAGCAAAGAGCTACCTTCTGTCACCAAGAGACTCTCTGAAAACAATCAACGATTATCGAAGTGGCCAGGACAATGCCTAGGCCCAAGGCTAAGGTTCTGACACAGTGCAAGGGCTTATCCACACTCCCTCTTGTCTCCCCGGGAAAGGAGTGTGGGGAAACCACTCAGACCTGTGCTTTCTAGGCATGGAATAAGCAGAAGTGTGGACAAGCTCTAGGACTACTTGTAGCTGGACACATTTTTCATCAGCAGATGCAAACTGGAACGTGATTTCAACAAACAGAGGAGTTCTAGGTGACCACGACACATGCATAATAATCACATGGAGCAAAATCCATCTCACATCGACAAAAGAGACTGTCCCAACGAGGGTCAGAAGTTTAAATACTGTACCAGATTTTTGTTAACTGTGCCCCACCAAAGCCAAGGTAATTGTATTTATTTATTTTATTCTGCCATATAAATAACAGGGGATGCTAAAGGAAGCCCTTTCATTTCCCATCAGGTTAGTGGAGCATTTTGCTTTATTTTAACAGTTAAGTAGTTGGAGACCTCAGCAAAATCCTAACAAACCATCAATTGTTTTCTCCTGCTTCCTGCTGTTGTCTGCAGTTCTATTTTGTGTTGAGGGTTATTCTTCCTCCTCTTTCTAGAAAATTTCCACTGAAAAGGTGATGAAGTGTAGGAAACGTCACCCTGTCCTCGCTAACAAACTACACCCTCTCCAGCTTGCACAGAAAACATGCCAATTCCTGTGGCAGACCTCAATTTATACACAATCCCATACAGAATGAAAAAAGTTGCATTTATCAGTCTCCCCTTTAAATTCTGCAGATGGTGACCCCAGATTTGTTGTTGGTTTTTTGTTTTGCTTTAAGTCTTTCTGGACCCAGTACAACCTATCCCCATTCTGAAGAACATCCATTCTGGTGGGTACTATCATTCAAAGAGGCGGAACTGGCATAATTTTAGCTCAGCAACTCTGAGCAGGAGCCAAAGGGAAGGCCAAAGTTCAAAGTATGCTAACATCCCTGTGTAGCTCAGTCAGTAGAGCATGAGTTTCAGCCCCACGTTGGGTGAAATATTCCTGCATTGCGGGACTAGATGATCTTTGTGGTCATTTCCTACTCTACAATTCTGTGATTCTAATAAAAACCTTCTCAGAAGGGGATCATCACAGCTAGCATCAGAAAAAGAGGCCAACTTCTGATACAGAAACTGAACTCTGCTCCCATGCCAGGAAGATCACTTCAGGCTTCTTGCAGCACATTACCATAGCAAGCAACTGCTTTCTCGATGTCCCTCTGCCTGCCTGCATCAAACTGATTTTGCATGCAGAGGATTTATGTCCACATCCAGAGTTAATCAGCACAATCCCGTTTATAAAGGAGGGTCTTTGAAAAGTGTACCGTGCAAAGTAACTTCATCACAGTTTTTAGAACCCTACGAATTCTAGGGTGAAGAGAGAAAAATATTCTAATTAAGCTGGGGGGGGACCCTCAGCACCTCTCCATTCACAGATTTAGCTGATGTCAACACTGACTGATTCTAGGTTATAAATATGTTTCTGGAAACTCAAAGGTTTGAAAAAGTACAAAAATAATAGGAAAATCCTCTCTAAGGGGCATCCCTCAAGACAGTCCAAAGAGGAATATGAACAGATATCAAATCCTAACTGGTTACTCTGAGGGTGGGATAAATTGAATGTAATGGAGTATTTTGAAAGACCACATTGTTAACTGACTGCGGTATAGAATTTGCAGCACTCCACACTGCAAAAATTTGTTTGAGGCCCCACTGGTATTTCCAGTTAACATTGTTTCTGCTTTTTGTTGTGCCTAATTCTATGCACAGTTACCTGGGAGTAAGTCTCAGTGAATGTACTGAGACTGACTTCTAAGTAAATACACTGTTCGAGATCTTCTTGAGAGAGGGTTGAAAAATCCCTGCTTGGCCAGGAAGCTTACTGGGTAGCTTTCAGCAGGTCTCTGTCTCTCTGCTCAAATGACCCCTCAGGGATGCTGCAAGGATACAACCTGTTTCCCAGCTGCTCAGAGGAAAAGGGTGGAGAGACAACAAACCTAACAAATTATTATTTTACAGCAGCCAAGCATGCATAATTTTCTCTTGTGGTCACACAACAGCTCTTACAGTTGCTGTTTTTGAAATAATAAATAACAACGCTGCAGCCACTGTTTTCAGCCACTCATCTTACTGTGTGCAGGAAGCAGCTTTGCACCCATCTTACACAAAGGCTAACTAGTTTGCCTCACCAAGCTTGATGTCTCCATCCAGGGTCAGCAGCACGTTGCCTGCCTTCAGGTCCCGATGGATTATCTTCTTGCTGTGGAGGTAGTCTAGGGCTTCTAGCATCTGGCGGCAGATCACTTGGATCTGGGGTTCGGTCAAGCCTCGATCCAGTTCTATAAAACAGAGGCAATCGGAAAAGGCTCCTAAATTTAGCTTCAAGGAACAGGGTTGACTTTTGCCCTGGGTTTGAATTAACAAGTGTATAGACATCAGGGGTGAGCAACTTTTTTCTGTCAAAGGCGACATTCCGTCTGATTTAAAAAAGAAATGGGAAACAGCAGTGGATTATTCTGAGGTGCAAATTATCTGCCAGCTTTGGTTATGAACTGAAAGGGGGAAACCATTGCAGAGCTTATTCTGAAGTTAAACATTTCACTGATTAATTTGTATATGCAACATATCAAAGCTCATAGCCCTAACACATAACCACTAGGCTGAGAGTAAAATGCGACAAACATACGATATTTAATCCTGCTCTACTAGAACACAGTGAATGTAGATGAGGCGTTTCAAGACAATTGTTTCTGTTCATGAGCAATACGCCTTTGCTTTGGACATTGGGAGAGCCGTATTGGTTTCAGTGGGTGGTTTCTCTTTCACCTACTTTGATTAGGGAAATAGTGATTTTAGGCCAGGTATGGAGACCCTGCGACCCCCCCCAGATTTTGCTGGACCACATGCTAGAGATGGGGGCAATGGGAGTTTGAGCCCAAGAACACCTGGAGGGCCACTGGCTCCCCATCCCAGATGTAGGTGGACCCTGAGGGAAAAAGAAAACAGGGCTGGCATTCCCTCAGATATATGGGTAGAATTCAATGTAGTGGTAAGGAGATCATTTTTCCAGGGCAAGCATTTCTGCTCCTATGCTTCTTCCGAAGGGTGAAATTCAATTAAGTTTTACTCAGGGTATGTCCCTTAATTTCCATGTAAGACTGCTCTGAGTAAGACAGAGTTGAATACCACTGAATAGGTTTCCCAAAGATACCCAAAGCTGTGTAAGAGAATTTGCAGGATGCCAATCCTCTGCAATCCCAACTGTCTGTGTGGTTAGCTGTGACGGGGGGAAATTCATAACAAATACAAAATGCACACTTGGAATTCATTCACCACAGTGAGAATCAACCCCCCCCCCTCCCATGACTGGTCATGAATTTACTGTCCCAGCCCTTCTTTCCTGAAAACCACAGGCTGGGAGTTTAGACTTGTGACCTCTGTACATTGCCTCCTGTAAGAGTACGTAGCTTCACCACCTGCTGCCTGGAGCATAGATGCCAGACATGATCTAGGCCTTTGAGATATAGCTCAGTTCCCCCTCCTGCTCCCCCATTTTCCTCTAAAAGCGAATCCCCAAACCTGGAGGGTACCTGTGAAATGAGATATGCTTTGCCTGGTTAAACAGGAGACTCAGATCCTGAGAAACTGAAAGCTCCCTTTCTCCCCCTTCCAGGAAGATTGGCAAACTCACACAACCCCCTGCCATAGCTACTGTTCTTGAAAACTCAGCCAGAGCAAATCTAAGCTATGTCCCATTGCTATAAGACAGCCTTTGTGTGGGCTTGTTCTTTTAAAAGCAGTAGCTGCTGTGACCCCTTCTCCTCACATTCACCCCCAAATACTATAACATGGAGCAATCATTCCCAGTACGTCTGGGAAAGCACAGCAGCCACATGCTTGCTTCTTGTGTTGGGTCTGAGTCAAGCCGTGGAAAATAATACCCTCCTCGATGGCAGATGTCTTCCCCCTCCCTAATCCCTCATGTGTGCACATGATCAGTTTCAGCCTGTTCACATGCATGTTTTGGACAGAAACCTAATGCTCAGCTTTCCTGCAGGGATGGGAGTGGGAGGAACGACCAGAACACATTCCGTGTGCTGAAAGACCTCAAAAGGGGCTTCATTGTTAAGATGCTTCATGTCACTTACCCAGCATGGTAGCATCCACTGCTCCACCAGGGCAAAACTCGATCATGATCTGTCAAAAAAAGAAAGCTTTAAATGGGCAGCTGGAAATTATATTTCAGAGTACAGCTCGTTTACTGTCGAAGAGAACAACAACAACAAAACCCTATTCTTGGAACAAACCAGCTTCTTCTTCCCCAAAACTAAGTAACACTCCCAACTATTTTTTTTATTGCTATTGTTATTTTTGGCACAGCAGAGCAACTTGCTGTTGGGCACAAGTCCCTACTTCTAAAATGTTATTGTAAGGTGTTTTAAGTCAAACTTGGGCGCTTGCTGCTTAAGAACATTATAATAAACAACATACGAGATCTCACATGAAATCAGGACTGTCTGACTTACAGCTCTTCCAAACAGAAATATTGCTACTGCCTCACATTCATAAACCTCTTTATTCAAATACTGTAGTTGTTGAAATAATCCTGAAGGGTTGTTCGGTATTATTATCCTCACACTGCAGATGCAGTGAAGTTGAGGCTGAGAAGAGACACAGCTTGCCTAAGGGCTACCAAGAAAGTTTTCACCGCAGAGGTGAGGATGGGAACAAGAGACTTCCTGGTTTGCAGCTGATTCCCTTAGTTATTATGTTACTCTGACGTCTGCCTAACCCTGAAGAACGCCCATCCGATCATGTCCCCCAAGACCTCCCACAGAGTAAACGGGAGAAAACAAAGCCTTGACTTCAGCCCACAGGAAACTTCCTTTCAGATCATTGCCCTCTCACACAAAATGAAAACCGGCCCCCCTATGCCCCCTGTACCTGCAGGCCCATCTGAAGCAGCTTCAATGCTCATGACTCCACTTACGCATTTGTTTACAGGTTTCAACTGCAGCTTGAACAGAGAGGACTGCTGCAGATACTTGAACTTGCCAACAGGATGAAATAGTTGTCATAGCTGAGAGCTGACGTGGAAACAGCTCAGAAGCATCCTAAAACTCACAATGCTCCTTTTTCTGCTTTAATTTGAAGATGAAGCTTGCAGCTGGTTCTCAGGGGTTTGCCTGTTGTTTTGTAATTGTGCTAAAAAATATTATGTTTTGCCCATCACAACACTCCCTTGAAGTCCCTAAAGGTGACCTCTTGACATCACAACCAATTAGGCTTAAATTTTAATAATTTATCTTGAGCATGTCTATGAAGTAAAAGGATTAGCTACACTGGAGTCTGAACTAAGGGAGCAAGTCAAATTTGTCCACTGTAGTTCAGGTTTTTATACATCACCTACACATACCCCTTCATATTTTGCAAGTGGTGAACTATGTTTTTGGCTGCAGCTAAAAGTGTCCCAACCCCAAATCTCAGTCAAGGGAAGGAGCCAACTCCAAAAACTTCAACACTCTGTTCTATGTGCAGACTGGCTTGCTCCTGTGCTGGATTATAAAGAATACAGTGGTACTCGGGTTACATACGCTTCAGGTTACAGACTCCGCTAACCCAGAATATTGCTTCAGGCTAAGAAGTTTGCTTCAGGATGAGAACAGAAATTATGCTCCGGCGGCGCGGCAGCAGAAGGAGGCTCCATTAGCTAAAGTGGTGCTTCAGGTTAAGAACAGTTTCAGGTTAAGTACGGACCTCCGGAACGAATTAAGTACTTAACCCGAGGTACCACTGTATATTCAGGAGTACACTTCATGCCCCCTCCTTTGTGACATTGCCCTGTTTCGAGACGTATCTTATACTTGGAATGACTTAGACTATATATGTGCCAAATTTCAGCTTCTGAGTGGCCTGGAAGTACCACTGTCTTTTGGGGGAAGGGCTATGCGTTTGGGAACTGAGGCAGCACTGAAGTGGTGGTATCATTTTGGTGACACAAGAATCGAGTTTCAGGGCCCGAACTAATCAAATTAGTAACCCATGTAGGTGAGGCCTAATTGTCAGCTAGGGCATGGGCTGAGGGCAATGATGCAGCCACCTTGCTAAAACTAAGCCAGTCTCTCTGGTCCGTGCTGGGATGGGAAACCACCTCAGATCCTCATGCATGTTGCCTTGAATATAAATGAACTAAAATAAAATTAAAACCATATATACACACAGAAACACATCCATCCCTTATCCATCAGGTGACTATCCACCTGATTTGGAGGATTTTTCCCCCATTGGTTTCTCCTACTCTGGAATGAGAAGTGCATATACTCTGCATATGCAAGCTTTCAGCAGTACTCACATCAACAAATATTTACAGCGAGCAGTCTCTGCATATTCTTTTATCATCATTGTTATTCTATTATCACTCAGGTGTGGCTAATTTTTCTGTGACAGGAGAACCCCAGTGGAGTGACCTTTGTTCACTGTAATGTGTCATAGAGCTTTGCTTTGTTGCAATAAACATTTCAACTGTGTCAAGTATTTCCTGACTCATGCACCAATAAATTCCCATGCACTGATCATTGCTGTTAATCTATCTATACAGCATGTTCTGGAACAATCTATAATGAAGCTTGAGCCAGGTTCTTGTCACAATACCATCAGGACATATATCACCTTGTTAGTGCTGAAGGGCTGACTGTACACTGAGACTGAAACCACTCTCAGTAATCAGCATCTAAACCCGTGAAAAGTAATTTTACTATTTGCTGCTCGTGTACTTGGAAACACCCCCCCCCAAATAAAAACACAGTTATTTAGCATGGTGGAAGGTGTTTATTACAGGTGGGTACTTGAAAACTTAATGGGTCCTACTAGCATTATTTAATGTCCTTTCTGACATAGATTGTAAGTTTACATCTGTAAAAAAGCAAAAAAGAAAAGAAAAAGGAATGCTTTGAAAACAAAGTGCACAGAAAATTCTGGAGTCGCCACTGACTCTTTGATAGCTTATGGCAGAGTCTAGGAGCATCTCAAAGTCTAACAGATTTATTATTGCATGAAGCTGAATGGGTTAGAGTTCACTTCAACAGATACAGAAATCCAGGAGCATTCTTGGGTGAACAGTTGTTCATATGGGGTGGGCGCAAACCATTTGCTCAGAACAAGGGATGAATGAGTGCTTGGGAAGACAACATGACTTCAACAGGACACCTTTGGCTCTTGAGAGAGACAAAGAAGAAAAGAGTAATGCCCAAAGCACATTCTTTGCATTTCTGCTTCCTTGTTTAAAAAGCAAGCAATGCTATTACCTGGCTGTTCTCTGGTCACCCCCCCCTTCTCCCATGTAATCTCCACCCTCTTAAAAAGAATCAAACTGCCCATAGCTCAATCTTATTAGTAATTGCTCTCCTAGATTTCAAAACTTCTTGAATGCTGTCTGCCACTTTTGTCTGCAAATCCCGCCCTTTGTCTCACACGGCTCCAAATAACACAAATCGAAAGCAAGTCAAATGTTTGCCAACTAGGTGTGCCGCTTCCTTTGGTGACAGAGGCCCCGGTGCCTTTAGCAACTTCATGACAGGCATTCCAACATTCCTCCAAGAGGAGAAAGCCAAAAGGCATAGCTAAGCCTTGTCCACTTCTGCTTCAGGCTCAGGTCCTGCTCCAGGAGAGGCCTTTCTGGAATGAGCGACGCTCAGACTCATTTTGCTGGCTGCTACCAACTGAGCAGTGTGCTCCTTGCACTGTGGCAGCAGGCCCTGTGATCGTAGGAAGTTGCCTTAGTCAGACCACTAGGCCCATCTAGTCCAGCACTGTTGACCCTGGTTGAGAGCAGCCCTCCAGGTTTCAGGCAGGGTGCAATGCCAGCCCCACTGAGCACAGGAACTTCTGCATGCAGAGTAAGTGCTGTAACACTCAGCTGTGGTCCGAACTAGTTAGGATAAGACAGACTTGAGCCATATTACAAAATTTGACAGGTTATGTCTTGTGCCACCCTCAGGGTTGGTGAAAACAACCAATAAGCCTAAGGCACTTGGTTAATGGCAGGGGTCAGTAAACTTTTTCAGCAGGAGGCTGGTCCACTGTCCCTCAGACCTTGTGGGGGGCCGGACTATATTTTGAAAAAATAAAATAAAAAATGAATGAATTCCTATGCCCCACAAATAACCCAGAGGTGCATTTTAAATAAAAGCACACATTCTACTCAGGTAAAAACACGCTGATTCCCGGACCATCCACAGGCCAGATTTAGAAGGCGATTGGGTCGGATCCGGCCCCTGGGCCTTAGCTTGCCTACCCAAGTACTAGAGAGGTTGCGCCAATCTTTGGGATAGACAAGGAGCTGAGTGCCAGCTCTGCTCCCCTTGTAATCCAAGAGGGATCTTCATTGAGAGAAGCACGTTTCTTTCACCTCAGGGAGGGTCAAGGAAACTGGATATTATTGTGGAGTCCAGGTTTAAGTGTATGCCAACTTAAACCTATTTCCAACTTGGGGCTTTCAAAAAACCTCTCTCTCTCTCTTCCCTACCTATGCAACTAAGACCAATGTACACCGAAAATCTTGCCCTCAGATATGTAATATATTAATGCCACTGAAATATTTCAAACAAGCCAGTGGGCTTTGTTATGTACTGAAGTTCTCACCCTGGGCCAGCAGGGGGATACTGTAGATAGTTCAGGTCCACATATGCAAATAAGGGATCGAAAGTGACGTTCAGTGATTGGATAGTTACAGAAAATGGTTACTGCTGCGTTCTAGCGGAGCTCTATATAAGCAGGCTGGCTGAACCCTTCAATTCAGTTCAGTTCTGTTCTGGCCTGTGAATAAACAAGAGCTGTTTGAAGAATCTCTGTGTCGTCTGATATGTTCACCCGCAACTTAACAGGCTTGCTCTGCAGTAATCACCCTACTAACCCTAGTTTCCCCCACTGAGACATTTCACTTCCTTGCCGTTTCTTTCTGCAGCCCTAGAATTGCTGAGATGAGAAACTGTAGAGTCAAAGCAGTCACATCAGTTTGGAATGAGTCAACTCAAATAACTTTGAAGCTTGCTAATCTGATTATGGTGGCTGCACTCTCTCTTTTTTAGTCTTGTGCTGCATGCATGACTGCATTTGTGACTGCAGTTTTCATATTTCAGTTACAGATTTCTATTTGCCAGGCACAACCATTGTTATTCTCTGTGATGTGATTTGGTATC